CATCTCCAACCCCATTCACATCATCGCATGCAAACATCGTGAATTCTTACTACAGTCAGATGACTTAATCATGCATGGTAGATTCCCCTTCTGATTCAGTTAAAGTCCTGAATTAAATGCAAGGAAATATATAAAAAGTCAAAACTCGGTCAAACTGAATGAAGGGTAGTATAAAGAAGGGTATACGAGATCTTAAGGGAGACCGCGTAAGCCTACCTCGAAGTTCCCTGCCTCTAGGGTCCCGCCTGAACCCCGACAGAGCCCCCACAATCGATGGGGCGAACCTCCCACAGAGGCCTTGGCACAGATTATGGGTTTCAATCCCGCCTGCCGCCTTCCTCTCTGAACCAAAAGACTAGACTGAGCGGGAGAAGGGCAGAAGGATAAGTATTCAGTGTCTTAGATACGAGAGGGGTGCACTCAGACTCGCGTGAGAAGGCGTTGAAGTCTTGACGCGCTTGAGGGCCCCGCAATGGTGGCCAAGAACGCAGTGAACTTGATCGAACTATTGCCCAAACTGCAGGTCTCCTTATGTTATGATGTCCCTCTAAATCGCAGCAGTAACCTCCTCGCAGAAGCCTGACCCTCTTTCTTCAACCCGCAAAGCTACTCCCTCGCATCAATTGTTGCTGTGTAGCCCGAGACGCCACGTTCAAATAGAGCACGCCCCTCCCCCGTGTTCAACTTGAAACGCAGGGAGGACACAAAAAAAAAGAATTTCAATAGGAACCGAGCACTCAGCAACGTGCGCAACAGATAGGCACCACGACAGCGAACAACACCAATCACTAACGCCACAACGCCTCACTCAGGAATGCACAACGCAGAACACCGCGCACGTGCCTAGCAGCCCAGCAAGCACCGTCCGTGCGCACATTAGCCTAACGAAACACCTCGTGCACAGCAATGCCTTGTCGTGCCCATCTGCATGCTCTGCAACTCTCTACTCAGAGCTAACAGGAAGTTACCCAGCTCAACAGCAAGACACTCAGTTCCGCAGTGGTGCAACGAAGATACCACAGCGTGGCACTGTGTAGCGTAGATAAAAAAAAAAAAAAAGTAAAAAAAAAAAAAAGGCTCAACAAGGTCGTTGTGTGGCAGCAGCAACCGTAAACCACAATGGCCCCTCCTTTAGTTAACGCTCACACCTGATTCCCTGGTCGCGGCAACAACAACCAAGGTATGTGCAGATGACATTCCTGCTGACCGCTGCCATGACCCGGTTCATCCCTTCACAGCTCCCCCTTAAACTCTCCGAACAAACGGAGATTGGCGAACGGTGCTGCTGCAGAGGGCCGCCTCAATCAACAGTTCCTTTTAAGAAGCTGACCAAAAGAACAGGTTCCCGTATAGCCGTTTAGCAGGCTGAGGTCGCATTGGCCAATCAGGAACAATCAGCCGAATCACTCCACCAAAGAAAACGACCATGCACTCGGTCTACTTCAACAGCAAAAACTGCAGTACATGAAGATTTCGGCTATGCAGACTATTGCCATGACCAGGTAAACACCTTCACCTTCTCCCTCTTTCGTGAGAATGTGGCCGCCTGTCTCCCCTTATGCAGCGCAGCCCAACCCTCCTGTGAGAAACGACAGTTGTTGTAGATTGGAAGCAGCCAACAGTTGTTCAAACTCAGGCACAATCACCGCCTTGGCACTCAATCTCAGCGTCTTTGCCTCCACTACCAGCCCCCTCAAATCACAATACAACCTCAGGGGAGTCACAACGAGCAGCGTACGTGCAGAACCTTCATATGCCACAGCCTGCCCAGTTCATAGCAGCAGTGCACTCTGTGGAGAACAACAACGACCGCTTCAAAAGTGGGCAGCACAGTGGAGGGCACGAAAAAAGCACAGCGATAGAAAGAAAAACAAAAACACGGCCCAACATTGACTTGCTGCCCTTATAACACGTATGTATCTGGTCGTCTGCTCAGGCAGGTTCAGACGGAGCCTAGGAGAGGAGCCTGAAAATGGCTGGCACACAGACAACGAGCTCGCTGGAACACTATCGCGGCCAATGGAATGTACACGGCCAACAGGTAAGTCTCCAATCTTCACGGCTGGCCTCACGATACGTCCACCAGTAGGATGAGCAAAACTCGAGATGACTCTTCTTCCAAACCTGAGGAAGATGCACGCTGCTACTGCGCCAGACTCTCCCTCCCTGCTGCTTGATGCCACACTCGGATGATATGAGTAGGCAGTCTCTCTCTTCTCTCAAAGCTCTCTCTCTCTCTCTCTCTCTCCCCCCTTTAGCTGAGGGCTTTCCGTTAGCACATTTCACTTGGATTTTTTTGGTACACACTGGTCCTGCCCTGCAGCTTTCGCCAACCTCACCACGAAAGTACTTTGTTCCTCCCTCTACTACCTATAGCATGTTGCAGCTCCCTGGGTATAACTGCACCTGCCCATTGACCTGGCCAGGTTTGCTCAAACTGAGGGAGCTAAACAGTAGGAAGGAGGAACTCGGATCACGTTGACAGGAAGGAGAACTCTATTACAATTGAGGGAACGTACCGCACGGGAGGTAAGTACCATCACTAGGTAAGTAAGAAAATAGAACGAAACAGAGATGAGAACAGATCTCCCGCTAGAAATCAAGCAGATTCATTCCTCCCGGAGCCACTCCGAATTCTCCACCGTGCAGCTCTAGCAAGCCATACTGTCGAAACCAGTGCTCGAATCAAGATTCTGACGCAGCCATCTGATTCGGCACGCGTTAAAACCCCTATTTAGAATCTTACCTTACCCGAATCGGCCCAAAAACGGAAGAGATATGTCGATTTTCCTCTTCTCCATATCTATCCTCTTCAACATCTTCGCGTGGCTCTTTCCCTTCCTAACTCTTAATCTACTAACTCTCCACTCAAACTAACTTCGGATTTCGGTTCGCCCTATCCCAAAACCCCAGTCTACTATCTTCCCCCGCTCGGGCATAGCTCACCTCTCGTCCCGCTCCGCCATTCCCTTCTTTGAATGCACCCGGCACGAATTGTGGCCAGGTTCGGCCATTTCTTGCAGGCCTTCCTCCTCTCCGGCAGTTCGCTGCCTTGGCCCGTCGCCTCTCCGCTGCCTTGGCCCGTCGCCTCTCCGCTGCCTTTGCCTCCCGTCTATGCTAGACTGTGCGTTAACCCAGGCACCACGAAAGGGTGCCAACCGATACAACCAGCGGGATGGTGGTTGCGGACGTCGAAATCCGCTAATGAGTGTGTATCAACTCACCTGTTGAATCGAGCAGTCCCGAAATGGATGCCGCCAATATTCAAATGAGAACTTTAGAGATCGAGGTGAGAGCGGTGTCCCATGGAACAACCGCTGGGACAGCCTTGCCGTACAACAAAAACTGCGGCAGCCTCCCACCAGTGCCCCCTGGTCCCGCTGTAGCAATTCTTTAAATGAGGTCGTTTGGAGACCGAAGTGGGGGCGGGTTCC